ACCTTGTTGTCGCCCTGGGCCACAACCGCAGCGTAGCTGGGCGGCGCGGCGCCGTCGCTGCTACCCTCGCCACCGTTTCCATTCTGCTGCTGCTGCTGGCTCGAGTTGCCGGCGGTGCCGTAGCTGAGGTTGTTGTGGTTCTGCTGGGGCTGGGGCTGGCCCTTGTGCGGGCGGGCCTGCTGCTGGGGCTGGCGTCCGTCGCCGTGGACGAAGACGTAGGTGACTCGGCCGCCCTCGCGGTCATTCTGGGGGAGGGAGTCGTATTCATTGGCGGGCTCGGGGTATTGGACAATGATGTACCAGGCGTGGATGAGGCCGGGAATCTGGGCCGTGTTAGTGGGGGATGGTTCGGTGGCAGGGGTCGCCGTGAGGGAACGTACGAAGCCGAGAACGCAGAGAAGAATGTTGATGATGGAATCTGCTGAGCAGATGCCACGCTTCACCCAGACTGCGGAGGTTTTAGTGAGGATTCAAGAGATATTTCATGGATTTGGCCAGTGATCAGGCAGCAGTTATTGGGGCAAGACGTACCAGGTAGTGGGGGGAAGAGGACGGCCAGAAAGCCAAGGAAGATATCGGCGGAGCACATTGTGGACGGTTTTCGGATGTGTTGAACGGGTGAGCAGGCAATCTAGCAGTTCACTTGTGTTTGTGAAGGAGAGAATGAACGAGTGCAGGGCAGATGATTGTGGTTTCGAGGTCGCAAGGTGAGGATGGCGTGGTCTGGATATGGAGAAGTAGTGTGACGTCTTGGGAGCCTGGAGTGGGCGTCCGTGACCCAAGGTGGACCAAATGCACCGCCATTCGCCCCAGAGGGAGCCAGTGGCTTGGGCGGGTGTCAGCGAGGGGTGTGTAATGGACCCGTGACGTACGCTGTGTGTGTGAGACGTTTTTGATTGGGCTGGACGGGTGAACCTCGGATGTTCCTGAAGATCCATCCAGGCACCCCCACCAGACGTTATGCGGGTGTGTAATGGCTGCTCAAGCAAGCTGTATGCCAGCTTTATGCTAGGGATCCATTCTAGATACCTAGGTAGTTACTAGAGGTTGCTGCTAGACCAGACACCCCAAGCTGCTGTCTGTCGTAGCTCAGTGGTAGCGACTATGTCTATTCCAGGACTTGGCCTGGAAACCTTCGCTGCTCAGGTATGTGTCGCGTCCCAATACTTCCATTTGTCTGCTTCTGACTGCTCGACAGCCAGCAGCTCCCACTGGCGCCTCCACTACTCGGGTCATCAAGCTCGAGCAGCTATCCGAATGGCGATTCGAGGTTGGCTTTAGCTCAGAAGTCGAAGTGAAGCTTGTTGCCGGTGTTGCAGAAAAAGATGGCACAGAGCTCGCCGCACACCACGTCTATCGCTTCAGCGGTGTCAAGACGAAAATCCTCACATTCATGGGCTGCCAGCTCGAAGTTACTGGCACCTGCGATGACGAGTTCCTCGCAGACTTCCCGAAGCCTACCGACTCACCCATGAATTCCTATCTCAATCTTCACTTCAAACTACATGCTCTTCGACAGCATGCAGCGGCGGCGAAAGCAGAAGGACCACGCGTTATGATCTGTGGGCCTCCGAACACAGGCAAAACAAGTGTCGCGCGGACATTGACGAGCTATGCTACACGACTGGAGGGACAGCCTTTGGTGGTCAACATGGATCCCAAAGAGGGCATGCTGTCTCTGCCAGGCACACTGAGCGCCAGTGCTCTGGCTTCCATTCTGGATATCGAGGCTGTAGACGGATGGGGCACCACGCCCACCAGCGGGCCAAGTCAGGTACCTGTCAAGTTACCTCTAGCATTCTACTACGGACGGACAAGCCCGGCCGAAGACCCCAAGAAATACCTTGAACTCGTAAGCCGCTTGGCAGGCTCTGTGACTTCTAGATTTACCCAAGATCCCGACGTCAAGAGCTCTGGAATGATCATCGACACGCCTAGCACGGATGAAAAGAGCAAAGCCAGCATGGAAGTTCTCGTGCATATTGCCGAAGAGCTATCAGGTGAGTCGTTTGTGTACTGAACCAAAGAATCATGCGTTGTTGACATTCGACAGCAAACATCATCCTCGTATTGGGTTCTTCACGCGTCAACACAGAGTTGAGCAGGCGGTTCGCCAATGAACGTACCGGCCTCGGAGAACAGATCCATGTTATTCATCTCGACAGATCTGAGGGAGTGGCCACGCGAGATGAAGGGTACATGCAACAAGCATGCGAGGCTTCGATCAGAGAGTACTTTTTCGGCAACATCGGGCGAACTCTAAGTCCTGCGACTCAGCAGGTCGATTTTGATAGCCTCACCATTTACAGACTGGGTGACTGTAAGTCTGGCCCCGTCCTCTATGTTTGCGACCACGATAGCAAGCTATATCACATCGCTTACTAACATGTCCCAGACTCGGTGTACGGCAACGGGGACGAGGGTCTCATGCTGTCCGAGCCATCAGGCCTCATGGCGCATTGGACTTTGGCTGTCATGTACGCCTCTACCAAGGATTCGCCTGAGACCATTCGCAACGCGAACGTCATGGGGTATGTTTACGTCGCCGAAGTTGACAAAGAGAGGCGCAAAATGAAAGTTCTCGCGCCCGTCAGCGGACGATTGGGTGATCGCCCTCTACTCTGGGGCAAGTGGCCGGAACCATTCGTCAACTTATTGGGTTAAGCCGTCCTCATCCAAAATATCCCACCTACGGACACCAAACAACAGTCCGCGGTTCAAAGGCGGCCTGACGCCAAGCAAATTGGTCACGCGCTTATAAGACACGACTTGTAAGTCCACCTCATTTGGAGCTACAGACGAAGTCTGATGATGTGAAGGAGCTAATACAACGCTAGTAATGAACAGCCACGCGATGATGATGCTCTGAGCTTCATATTACCATGTAGCCCCCGGAAGCTTTTCATTATTGATGGTAAAAGGCTCTGCCTTCCACTTCATGCAATTGTCTTGCTGACGTGCCGCGTCAGATTCGTCGCGGACGGAAGAGGCTGATAAATAACGACCAAGTGACGCATCTAGCCACATCTGCTGATCACGAAAGAAATTCTCTCTCTGTGTCGCCAAGATTTCGCATCTGGTACTGCACCCAGATGGATATAAGGTCCAGAAACAGCGCTCTAATAGCTGGGGGCTCTATCATGGAGATCCGTATCCTACGTTCGCGCAACGTCACAATCTCCCAACTGCTTGTTGTCCTCCATCATACGCCAGGTCCTGCGCAGGCTAGGCCGCAGCGGCAGCGAGTTGTTCCATGCCCAGGCGGATGGCGGGCCATTGGGGAAGACCGAGGATCTTCGCCACGGTCTTTCTCGTTCGACGTGCGCTATATCTCTCCACAACCGACATCTGCACCGAGATTCGTCCAGGGCTCGTCATTGTACATAGCATCAACACCTTCTGCCTCGCTCATGATAACACCCTGTGAAAGAGATCTTGCTTTCAGAGGCGGACCATGATTGATGTGTACGTTCGATGAACCCAGAACCCTGTCGGGCTGTCTGTTGACGAATGATGGAAACAGAAACCTTGGTTGGCAGGTATGGCTCACACTCTCGGGACGTACATCAAATACCAGGCCGTAAGCGCACCTCATTGATGAGTGACTTGTGCTCACCCAATCTCCAGACCCAGCAGAATGGGCGGATCTGCGATTCGGTGTGATTAAACTGATCGAGTGGCGGGGCGGAAGTCCGCGATACTGGAACTGCCCTGGGCTAGGTGATCTGCATTCAAGGAGCCAAACATCCGGCATGTTGCAGAAATTTGTTACGAATGTCAATCGTTGTGCACAGCAGCTGAGCAAGGTGTTCAATAGAGCATCCTTCCAGCGTTGTGCCAAGCAGAGTTATTAACTACAAGGTGCCCATTGCACTAGTCTGCACGGCCAAGACCTGCCTAAGACATACGACACCAGCGGCGCCTCGAGCGCATAAGACCACATTGCAGAGCTTAGATACGAAGCTCTGGGTACGGGTCTACACAATAGTTGGGTTTCCTCGCATCAGTAGCAGGTTTACCCTGCTGGACGCCAGGGGGTGCCCCTCCCACCAAGGATTCCCCCCGCCTCTGATCACCGGTTCCCCGCAACAACTGAATAGCGACGGTTGGAGAAAGCGTCCGGGGTAAACGGCCGAGTAACCCCTGCCCAAAGCTTTCATCCGCAAACTAACCGACGGACCAACTTTTTCCTGCAGGCTTGGTGGGTGTAAGTGGGAAGAGGTCCCACCGACGACAGTCATGAGTGCGGCGCGACCCCTCCCCGAACAATCCGCTCCATGGACCAGGGGGGCAGACACAATACAATCCAAAGGTAGGAGCCCGACCTGCCAGGCCTCGTCGTATCTTCTGGCCTCTTCGGGGTAATACTCGAGCGAGGCATATCTCTTTCCTGCCCGCTTGAAGCGTTGGCAGGGGGTCGCTCCTTGTACCGACCTTGTACCAAGTTCTATACCTTCGCTCTGGCCTTTTCAGATGCCTCCCAGGAGCAGACGTCAACATGAGCAGGCCTAAGGATGTGCTTGTTCCTTTAAAAGAGTCCACGAGCTCGCAATAGTGTTGATCTGAGCTTCACATGTCGCGTTTTCTAGGAACCCCCCGGCTCTCGCTATCCTTCGCATTCCATCCAAACCGGTTGAGACCAAATTTGGCATGGCTCTGGTAAGATTTGACATAGCATTGCCCCCATAGCCTGGCAGTCACTAAAGCATGACTGTAGTCAACACTGGCGCAGAGCGCCCTCGGCGAGGTCTATGGCGCCTTTCAGAGCCCTCCGATGCGGGCCCGACCCATGTTCCGCTGGTGGTGGCCTGACGGTCTGGTTGAGCCTGAGGAAATAAGGGCCGAGGTGCAGCAGATGTACAACGCTGGTTTTGGAGGCGCCGAAATCAGCGATGTGCATCGCAGTCGCAACACGCCTATCGACCTTGAAAAGTACGGCTGGGGCACCCAACCTTGGATCGACGGTCTCTACGCTGCCGTTTCCGAAGCCGATAAGGTCGGTTTCTACATTGACAATACTGTCGGTCCTACCTACCCCGCTGCCGTACCTGGTCTATCTCAAGACGACCCGGCAGCATCTCAAGAGGTTGTCCTCGGGCGAGCCGTTGTAACTGGTGGCGAGCGCTACAGTGGTCCTGTACCACCTCCTGGCCATGCTCCGGAAGGCGATGTCACCAAGGAGACGCTGTTGGCGGTGCACGCCTACAAGGTTGCCTCTGGAAGCAGCCCGACTGCCAGCCCTATCATTCTCGACCATACGAGCCTGATCAGCTTGTCCTGCTTTGCATCTAATGGTACTGTCAACTTTACGCCGCCCGATGATGGGACCTGGATGATTCTTTCGTGGCACGAGCGTGGCTCAGGCATGAAGGCAAAGGGTGGCCCTCATAATCACGAAGACGGAGCGGTCATTGATCACTTTTCCTCCGCCGGAATTGGGGCGGTCACCAACTTCTGGGACGACAATCTTCTGACGCCTGAGGTCAAAGACCTGCTATCCGATATCGGCGGCGCATACTTCGAGGACTCGATCGAACTTGAGTACAACACCATCTGGACCCCAGACCTGCGAGAAGAGTTCAAGACCTATCAGGGCTACGACCTCTTTCGCTACCTGCCTGCCATTACCCAAGATGACCAAAAGAACGTGTTCCGGTTTGCGGACGCCGAGCTGAACCGCGGTGTCATCAATGACTTCTGGGACACTCTGGGTAAGATGTACGTTGACAATCACATTGGTGGCATCAAGCCATGGGCGAATGCCATGAACATGAAGTTCCGCGCCCAGGTCTATGGTGTTCCTACGGCCGCTACCACCGCAGCGGGCAAGATTGACATTCCCGAAGGCGAGTCTCTGGGCTTCAAAAACATGGGTGACTGGCGTGCTCTTGCTGGTGCGGCCAACTTCGCCAATCTCACAATGATCAGCAATGAAGCCGGCGCGCTACTGAACCAGCCTTACGCTACGACATGGGATCTCATGATCAAAATTATGAATCCTATCATGACGGCAGGCGTCAACCTCCAAATCTTTCACGGATTCTCCTACAAAGAAGCGCCTGGTGCGAAGTGGCCTGGTTTTGCAGCCTTCACTCCTTACAGTGGCAACCGTGTGGGTTACTCAGAGTCTTGGGGCCCTCGCATTCCCATGTGGAAGCATACGCGCGACGTTGCCGATTACTTTGCTCGCACTCAGTCACTTCTCCAACGAGGTTCTCCCAAGCACGATGTCGCCTTCTACTCCCCTAAGGGCTACATCGCTGCTGGATTCAGCGGGCCATGGTACTCCCTAGATGGTGCGCGTCAGGGCTGGAGCATGAATCTAATTGGTCCCGGCCAGTTCGAAGAGCCGACGGCGTTCGTTGAGGATGGGCTCTTGCACCCTAAAGGCCCCGGCTTTTCCGTGCTTGCCTTCGAGGGAGACTCGTTTGCCTCTCGTGCCCCTGTGATCGAGGTTGCCACCGCTGAAAAGATTCTTGACTTTGCCAAAAAGGGATTGACGGTCGTTGCTGTTGGTAACTGGACCGCACCCCGCGCATTTGGATACAAAGAATTTGACCAGAACGACAAGATCAAGGCTATTTTTGACGAGCTCCTGGCTCTACCCAACGTGTTCAACCCGGCAGACCGCCCCGACATCCCAGCCGCCATGGCGGAGGCCGGCGTCAAACCTCGTGTGCAGTATGACAACCAACAACTCTTGAACTATCATCGCGTTGATGGCGATTCCGATCACTTCTTCTTCACGGCTACTCATACTGATATCTATGAGATTCGTGCCAATATCCGGGTTCAGCCTGTCGAGGCCGATGTCATCATCCCTCGCCGAAGCAGCAAGGGCATCCCCTTTTGGATGAACCTCTGGACTGGCGAAATTACTCCCGTTGCCAACTATGAAGAAGTTTCTGATACCCAGTTGAAGGTTCACATTAGCCTCTCGGCCTACCAGTCAGCAATGTTGACTGTCGCGCCCTCTGACACGACACCCATCCACGCAAGGCTTGCCGCCCTGGCGGGCGCCTCGCTTCACCGCACTGACGCAGGTCTGGTGCTTCGCTCCAACAAGACAGGGACCTACGATGTTGCTCTCAGTACTGGGAAATCCGTTTCTGCCCGAATTGACTCTGTAATCCCTACCCAAGCCCTCGGCAACTGGACACTCGACGTGGAGGACTGGCGCCCTACTGATGATGTCTTCTCCACCGAGACCGTCAAGGTCAACCGCACTTTTTCGCTCGGCGACGGCCCTCTCGTCGCCTGGCCCGAGATTGAGGGACTCGAGGACTCGGTTGGCTTAGGTCGCTACAGCAGCTCCTTCACCCTCGACTCCGAGTGGGACGCTGACGTGCATGGTGCCGTGCTCGCCATTCCCACCTTCATCGGATCGTTGCGCATCTTTGTAAATGACGAATGGATTGGTCCCGTTGACCAGATGGGTGTCGAGTTTGACATTACTGCGTTCCTGAAAGAAGGGAAGAACAGTGTTGTCATTGAAATGGCGACCAACTTGATTAACAGGATCAGGACAGTGGACCCGGCTGTATACAATAGCATGTCACGGCAGCAGCATGGCCTCGTCGGAACGATTGAGGTGAAGCCGTACGGCGTGCGAAAGTTAGCCGATTAGACATTCTCAAAAGCTGCAGGAGAACACTGTCGAGGGAGATCATGTCGGTATAACATCGAGCTGTCCTATGACACTTGCTGATGCTCTGCTCAACCTTCCCATATTTGACACAAGTTTAATCTCTCTGAACCTGCTCGTGAGCGTGTGCGCGACAAATCTCATACCTCAGGATGCAAACCCTCGCACGCAAACTTCAATTGCCACCTGCCTTTACAGACTTGCGGGCCTCGAACTAGGAAAAACTCAAACGACTCTTTCGAAAGCAGGGGAATCAAGGTTGGCTTTGTTGCTCGAATTGTGGTGAGACAGATGAGGAAAGGGGAATGGACGGTCAGAAAACGGATGGCGGAACAAGGGGGGCCAGGAGGGCTCGAGCGTGCCATGTGAAAGTATGGCGAGAGTCATGCGACATGAGTTCTTGTATGATCTTCCCCAAGGGGCCTGAGCATCAGAGTTACATTGCCACGAGGTTTGATGGCATTGGACGATCATCCGCGATCGAACCATCATGACGGGGCAGGTATCTCATGTAGTGGGCGTTTGCTCCTTTTGAATTCCAAGGTCAACGAAGACTGATCTTTGAGTACCCTTGGTAGACAGGCACCGCTTTCTCGTGGGCATTCCTAGCTTCATTGCCAAGGGCTAGGACCGGATACACTGTCGTCATTGTTCGATTGCAACCTGAAGTCGAGTCGTTGCAGGCAACAAGCATTGTTCGAGCGGCTCGGCCCATGTGATAGCCGGACGAGGTAACGTGACATGTCGTGCCAATAGACAACAAGAAATTCCAGGGTGCCAACCAGATCGAAGACGTCGAGCATGATTTCCAACACCCGAGTAATTGAACTAAGTATCGGGACGGAGGCGGAAGAGTAGGGAACAGCCTTTAGTCGAGCCGCTGCGCTTGTCGAGCTCCCGGAGGTTGATGCGAGGATCATCGCAGGCAGCCGTTTCACCATTCTCTTCGGAGACAAAACCCGCAAACGGCCTCAAAATCGGGTGGCCAGTAGTCCTTCTAGAAGGCGATCATGCCAGGCAAATCTGCCGTAAAGCAGTGTTTCGATGACACTGCTTTTCGGGCGAGGGCGGAGAGATCATCCCAGATTCGACAATAACAACGCACTTCAGCTCCGCAAACGAGAAACCGCCACCTGTCAGAGCAGACCAGTCACTTCTATGCGTGCAAGCCACCAACTGCTCAGGAACAAAGTTGGTTGCATTCCTGAACCCACAATAGGATCTTCCCTCTCGTCTGCCGAGCTCACATCGTCGCCTCGAGCGAGGTCATGCCCCTCGAAACCAGAATCCCATCTTTCACACAACGGTGGCTGTCAAAGTCGAGATCCAAACACTGCCAACGCAAGTGCCAAACAGCGCGACCGTTTACCCAGCCAATATGAATGCCCGAGCTCCCAAAGCCTCGCGCATCATCCGAAATCAAAGAAACAACCCTCTCGGAAGAAATCATCCAACCAAAGTCTTGAAGGGGAGCCTGCGAGTACGGTCTCGACTCCCCCCTAGAAACCCTTGCCGTCGGAAACTCGTCTGAAGATCCGCGGGGCGCAAAGCGCTGATCGCCCCTGTCCCTGGTGCAGTGAGCTGCAGAACCACCACCAGATGTCAGGCCGGGGGCCCCGCTCAAAGCACAAACCCCAGTCAGCTACGCGCTCATCCGAAACATTGGCCCGACTGGCACGCTGACGAAGACGACGACGTCGAAGTATCGCGAGTCTGACAAGGGGCGCCCAGCTCATCGGTGCGCAGCACGAGTGGCGCATCTCGGTTTACGCTCGTAATTCCAGTCCGCACGACGTGTTTCTGTGACGGGAAATGCATCGAGACTCGTCTGAAGGTGTCTGGCCAGGTTGTCAGGGGACATCAAGGCTGACAGGTCAGACCATGGTTGATGGTGCTAGGAGCGATCTCTTGTATAAGAAGTGGCGAAGACCGGCGACGATGAGGCAAATTTTTGTTAGCTTCAGATCATAGCCTTCTCGACCCTTTATTGCGACCACAGCCAGCCTGTCACCAACCCTTTTCAGTCAAGAAATCTCCCCTGAATACGTCAACAACATGGTCCGCTTCTCCTTTGCCGCAGCGCTGTGTAAGTTACTGATCTCCAACCCCCACAAGGCCACGCCCATTCACAGAGACCGGCAAGAAACTAACAGTCCCCAAGTCGCCGCCACAGTCCTCGCTCTGCCGAGTCCCGTCGTCCCAGACCCCTCCGGCGAGAAGAACATCGGCAACGGCAACGGCGTCCAGTTCATCGGCGGCGCCTGTCTCTCGAGCGCCGACTGCGCCTCCCAGTGCTGCGCAATCAACGGCGGCAACGGCGGCGTCTGCTCCGGCCTCGGCGCACAGTTCCAGGCCGGCAAGCAGGGCTGCGGCTTCGGCGATGGCGGCCAGCAGCCGCAGCAGCCCGAGCAGCAGCAACCCCCACAGCAGCAAGAACCGGGACGGATGGCCCAGCAGCCGGGCGCGGACTCGGGCGCGCCGGGCTCCCAGAACGTTGGTACCGGAAACGGCCAGCAGTTCATTACGGGGCAGTGCACCAGTGACGCCGACTGTGCTTCCGGGTGCTGCGGCAATGGACTCTGTGCCGCACGCGCCGTGGCCGAGGCAGCAGGCGGTCCCGGGTGCGGCTTCTCGGGTCGCTGAAGCTCTCAAGGTGCTTGTCAAACGACACGAACGACTGTTGGGTCTCTACTAGCCTATGTTGTGGCACCTGGCTGCTTGACGCTGCCTGGAAGGTTGGCGTATTGTCCTAGACACGAGAGGATGGTGAGCAAAGCTTGCATTGGAGGCGTTCAGCGGGGCGACTGGCATCGCCATGATTTTGAGGTTCTGCGTTTCAAACCAAGGGAGACTATATGAGCTTGGTCTTCTGTGTATTTGGTTGTTCAATCAAAGATATCTCAACTAAAGGGTATTCCTGAATGAGCCCTAACTCCGGTCGTCCTGTGTCCCGTCTTTCGTGTGCACCGCAATATTCTAAAATCGCAGTACAGATTGCCTTTTGTCATCTCCGTGGTTGCTGCAATCCGCCTTAATTATTGAGTTCTCCAGCGACGTATCCAATCTGCCGCCGTCCCTGAGGGCCAACGCCGGTAAGTTGTCCCGCAAGACCTGTCTGACTTTCAACCAATCGCCGTTGTTCTGCAATTCTTCGCGTTGCCCGTTCGTCCTGTTGTCGGTCCATTCTCTCAACATCTTCACGTTCTGCAATTCGAAGCGCACTCAATGCCTTAGCATGGTCCACCCGCTCCGTTGCCATGTTCCGTTCCCAGTCAAGCGCCTGAAGGTGTCGTCGCTTATCCAGTTCCATCTCTTGGCGTGCCTTGAGTGCAGATGCCTCGGCCATGGCCTTCTCGTGTGACGCTTCCGACACGCGCTCGTTCTTTCGCCGTCGCATGGCCGCTGCGAAGACTTCTTCCTCTGCGCGTGCCCTATCACCCATAGCTTCCATTTCTTCGCTGTGCGCCCGTTTACGGCGCGCGTCTTCGAGTTCGGCTTGGTTCGCCCAGATTTGTGCTTGCACAGCCGCGAGTTCCTTGGAGCGAGCTATGCTCACCTCGTAGTCCTCTTGCTCACTCGCCAGCCGGCTAAGGCGGGCTCGGCGTTCCCGTTCCTGGAGCGCCACGTCATCTGGAAGGCCTATGGCATCGTCCGGCTGCGGCCCTCGATTAGCAAAGAAGACGTCTTCGGACCTGTTGGCGCGCAGTAGGCGCAGAAGTTGCTCGTTGACATCAGCCTTGGGTAAAACTTTAGCGACGTACATGGTGGGGGAGTAAGTGTACACCCCATCCCTGTATAGATTGAATTTCTTGTTGACCAGCTTCCACATGCCCACTTTGAGGAGCAGCCTGGTCATAGCCACAGGATCGCTAGACTCCAAGGCGAGATGAAGCAAGGATTTGCCGCTGCACTTAACAGAAATATCAGAGCCCTTGTCGAGCAGAAAGTTCATAACCTTCTCAATTTGTTTTTCGCGGGCAGCAGTCATCTCGCCAGATATGGCTCCATGAAGACACATTTCGCCCAAGGCACTCCGTCCGTCGTGCAGATGGCTGGGAAAATCTGGATCATGGCCATACTCGACGAGCACTTGGACGGCTGCTAGGTTGAGCTCACGAGCAGCATTCTGAAGGGATCCGTCGTTTCTGGACGCGCCAGCAGCGAGTAGGTTGGACATCATAGTGATGGCCACGTCGCCTCCGATGTCTGACGCCAGTGACAGTGGGGTATTGCCCTTTGCGTCCGTGACGTCCACATCGGCATCCTTCAGAAGAAGTTCCTTCGTGACATCAGGCCGTCTTGCATGGATCGCCAGCATCAGTGGCGTCAGACGTGAGTGTCGAGTTTCAAAGTTGACCTTGGCCCCGGAATCTAGAAGAAGCTGGATTATGTTGCTGCTGACTTTCTTTTGCGGTTGGATAAGTGCCCAAGTGAGAAGCGTTACTGTTTCTTCTTCCTCAATCTCAGGCATGACCCGACTAACGGTTGTCTGGTCGTGGTAGAAGCCGGCATCCAGCAAAGCCTTCATAATCCTAAAGGACCGTGGGAACCTGGCGAGCGCGAGAAACAGAACTGGTGGCGAGTCCGAAAGTGAGTACATAACATCCAGGCGTGTCTCTCCGTTGCTATAGTCTGTATAGACTTGAATCAGTTGCAGGGCCTCATCTTCGGACAGTTGCTGGTCAAATATGTGATGGAAAGCCCTCGAAAGCGACTCTGTCTTGGGGTGTTTCTCTAGAAGGCGCTGTACGAGCCTAATGTTGTTTGCAGAGGTTGCCGACTCTAGGAGCTTTCCGTCTTCATGGTCGACATCCACGTCATTCTCGAACAGCAAGTCCATGAAACGGCCTCCGAGGTCTGGACTCTGGGGCACCATGTTGATGACGAGACCCAAGACGTCTGTCAAACCCGCTCCATGGGCTCCCTTTAGTATCAAGGCTTGGAGAACCAAGAAGCCTCTGTCGCTAAACCATGTGGCTGCGTTTTTATTGGTGAAGCTCTGCACAACCGTCAAATTTAAGGCGTCGGTCGTAACTGTTGCCTCGAGTAATAGTCGCACAACCGACGGCAAAGCTCTCTGTGCGGCATCAACCAGTGTCTTGGCACCCTTCACGTTTGGGGTCGCGCCATGGGCCACAAGAACTTCGATAGCCTTTTCATCGATCGCCTCATCGTTTACGGCCTTATTCAGGCAGATGTGAAGCTCCTCGCAGACGGGAAGCCCGGCTTGGAAAAGCATGTCAAGAACCATCAAGCGCGAGCTTCCGCTTAGCTTCCAGGCAGCGTTCAGCGCTCTGATCAGAGTGACGGAGGATGCCCTTCGTTGCTGCGCCGTGTTAGCCAGAAATCGAATTCCGTTATTGAGTCAACTCACTCTGCTTTTCTCGTCGTGACCAACAGCGAGTATTATCTTCAGACTGCCCACATTGGCGCTCCGCGTCGCTGCCCAGACAGCCTCGCCATTATAATAGTTTGGATCCGCACCAGCTTGAAGCAAGATCCTTACCAGTTCTTCACCCTCGCCACCGAAACGGACTGCAGATACTAGTTGGGCATTGAGAGCATCCCCACCGACACCACGCGTGAGAAGCGGCTCCAGGACTGCAGCTCGCTTTCGCAAATCCCCAACCTCGGTTGCTGCCTGAAACCCCTGTTCTAGCGTTGCTCTGCTGGGTTCTCTGCCGGTCAGCAGCATCGCAAGGACATCAGCAGCACCGGACCGACACGCTTCGATGATGGCTTGGTCGTCAACGCCTACACCATGGTTGATCAAGATGTTTCCAAGGACAATGTCTCCGTCGGTCGCCGCAGCTTGCAAAGCTTCTGAAACCGCGTTGCCCGAGGCCCCATGTTCCAATAGCAGCGTACACAGGAGCGCTCTTGTATCCTTCTTCTGGCATTTGGTGGCCTCGGTGAAAGCACTGTTAAGGATGGCGGCAGTGTGCTTTCTTTGCAGCACCAGTTCCACAATGTCGGGTCTTTCTCGTCTGATGGCGGCTACAAGAGCCTCTCCATCATTGGTATTTGCCTTGACTGACAGGGTCCGCAATAACGGGAGGTCGTCAGAATATGTATTAATAGCAAAGCCCAGTGCACGATTAGCCTCCGCACTAGGGGCACCGGCCTCCAGCAACTTCTTGGAAAAGGCCAAGCGATCCATGGGATCAGGTATCCGTAAGGCATGTGGCAAAGCATACGCCAAGGATGCCGGTGTCGGTCTGGCTTCGAAAAGCACATTCGTCAATTGTTCGTCGCTGGCAGCAACTGCATGACACAAGGCTGCCGCATTGTGTGAATTGACGTCAGCTCCAGAGCTGAGGAGGACCTTGACCGTAGACAGCTGCCGGCTTTTTGGTTCTGTCTTGGCGAGAGAGTGGACCTCCTTAACCAGAATATCGTTGAGAAGAGCCTTATCTGTAGTTCTTCGCAAGAGGGTGTGCAGTTTGGACACTTTTTTCTCAGAGGATAGCATTTGAGAGAGCTCGTTCAGACCACGATTCAGAGTCGCAGCAGAGGGCTTGCTGTGCTTCAGAACCGTGTCAAGCACCGGAGGCTCATGGTCCCGAATCGCTATCGTCGTTAGAGAACAGGGATGGCAGGATTAAGACACATCTAACATACCGATTGACAATGGTGCGCCATCATTAAAATTGATGTCAGCCCGACCTTGTTGTAATAGCACCTGCAGCAGTCTCATATCTGCAGGTTGTGTATTGAGAACGTGAAGCATCGCAGACGACACCTTGACGGGATCCATACCAGGCACGGAGCTCAATACAAGACTCGCTATCTCAAGCCTGGCTCGTGGATCTTCAATCGCTACTATGCTAGGAAGAACACCAGCCGCGGTGTCTGGCGAGATGTTCTTCCGGAGAAGCGCAGCGAGAAGTTTGACATCTTTTTGCGTCACTGCTGCCAACAATGCCCCATCGCTTGAATTGACGTCATTTGTAAACCGAAGAAGCAGAGCAATTAAAGCTTCATCCCTGTTTGGTGGTTTTGAGTCGATAGCTTCCTGCAAAGCATTTTGTACGGTTTGAGAGGGTAGTCCGCTAGAGAGGAAACATTCCACCATGCCAAGCTTGTCGCGAGGCGGGAGTGCAGATGTTTCAGCGAAAACACGCGCAACAGTTTGGCCGCTGGGCTTGCTTGCGAGCAGCACACTGGCCATGGTTACATCACCACGGCTGACTGCAATCTGCAACGCCAGTCCATTCTTGTAGTCAACCGAGGCCACTTCGTGTCTCTCGAAGACCATGGATTTCGACGCTCTTCTCCCCAGACCGCGCGGTGACTGAGACTCGACGGGCCGACCCGACCCCGGGAACTGGGGAGTGACCAGGAGATTGACAGACTTGACGTCACCAGCCCTGACGGCTTCGATGAGAACGTCATGCAGAGGGTTGCCGCTGGCTCCTCTTCGTAAGAGCACATCAAGCAACAGCCGCCGGTGTTCCAATGCCAAGTCTTTAGGAATGAGTTCAACGCACTCGGACGCCTGGAGAGAGCTCAAAGGCGAGTTGCCAGCAAGCAGAATGTGCGCCACATCTACGCGGCCATTGGATATGGCCTTCCGAACGGCCATGGCATCCCGATACTCGATCGACGTGCCGTATGTGACTAGGACGTGGAGCATCTCGAGAAACTCCGCGGATGCCGAGTTGAGCAAAGCAAGCGATGTGCCATCCCCCTCGGCACCAGCACAGAGCAGCATCTCAACCATGGAATCTTGTCATTTGGATTGATAGACCGGATGGCCGATGAGTTCGGTGAAGGCTTCGTCCAGACCTTGACCACGGGGTGGTTTGCTTCCAAGCAAGATTGCAAGCACTATGTCGTGTCGTCCTTGCGATATCGCAATCTTCAGGGCCTGTGCTTGCTTGTGGCTTCCATCAGCGGTGGATCTAGCTAGTCTCATGACTGTCGAAACGCAGGCGGCTCGAGTGGCATCAATCATGCATTGGGACAGCCAGGAAGCTGAAGGTCGTCCCTCGGACCGCAGAACCAGACTGACAATTTCGGCTTGTCCGCCCGTGACACATGCCTGGCGTACGGCGTCCTGGGCATCAGCCGTCGAGGCGGCACCGGCACCATATCGAAGCAACAGCTCAACAATCGCTGTGTTCTGGTTCCTCATGGCTATGGGCAGCGATGTGTCCAGGGCGACGGTGTCTGCGTGGGGCAGCAAGACGGCCACCATGTCCGCTTGTCCATTCTGCACCGCCTGCTGGAGGAGCCTGCTCCGTTCTCCAAAGGTCTCCAAGCTCTTACGACGGCTAAGAAGGCCTTGCTTGGGCTTCTGGGGGAGATTTACATCACCACCCGAGCTGATGAGGAGATTGATGAGAGACTCGGCTGCGCCGGCTCTACCCGAGTTGGCGACGTGAGAGTTCAAGGCATCGAAGACGATCTTGGGGTCGTAGGATTTCTTCTTGGAGGAAGAAAATGCCTTTCGAAGGTTCCCAGTCGACTCGGTCCGGCCGTGTGAAAGTTGTCTTCTTTTGACGAGCTCTTCGGCGTAGAAGTCATCATCTGTGTTGCGATAAGTGGGCGGATGAGATGGGCGGGACAGTGATGAGGTCGCTGACGGCACTTCCACGCCCCATTGCTCCGCGAGCTGAAGAAGTCGCCGCTGGCGGTCTTCGTGGGAGGGAATTGGCATGACAGGCACGACAGGGACGTGCCGCTTAATGGGTGGCGCGGTTCAGGTCAAGCTCCTCAGCCACAGCGTGGTGAGAGAGAGAGAGAGCCAAAAGCCAAAGCTAAACGGATCGTGGTTGCATCAGAGGAGGGGCAGATCGCAGTCGGAAGACGGTTGATAAAGCAATCAGAGAGGGCTGAAGATACAACGCGGCGAGGCCTCCCTCCGAGGTTGAAAGCCTGTGTCGAGGTCCGTATGGAAGTAGACGAATGGACTCAGGTCTCAGGAGTGAGCCGGGTTGCGGGTTCGAGGCTCGGCCAATTGGGCTTGACTGAGTGTCGAATTGGGGGGCAAACTCTTCGTCTCAGGACCGACGGCGACTATGTTGAGGAGTATTTGTAAGAGGGGCCGCCAGTCATTCAGTTCTTGACATTTGAAAATGGAAAGGCTCCAGCTTGTGGAGGCGAGGGATGAAAGGATAAAAATGCGACAGGATATGAAAGGCGAAAATCCCGAGCAGTCGTAGAGACACGAGTATTCTCGGTCAGTGACGTCCACACGGCGTGGCGGAGGGGGGAAGGAGCAAGCGGGTGTGAGGCAAGTGCAGGCAGTGTAGGCAGTGCATTCAGTGCCCATGGCCAGGAAGGTACCTGTTTAAGGTACCTGTTTAAGGTACCTGTTTAAGGTACCTTACCTGTCTACCTAAGGTACCTACCTAACTACCTACCCACCTAGGGAAGGCAACCTACATGTACCTTTAGACAAGGTGCCTTACCTAGGTAGGTGGGTAGGGATGACAGGCACGACAAAAGGATGGACAGCCAGTGGATCTCGATGCGCCACATACCCCCTGTCGATAGTCCTGTCCACCCCACCACTTTCCCCTTCTCTAGCCACAAGGCCAAGACAGGCCTTTGACGGGAGAGCCGCTTGGCAGGCGCCGACTTGCCCATCCATCAGCTATCACTCGGGGAGGGAGGACAGGCGTCAAAATCCAGTTTGATGTCGGCCTTGCAGTCTTCCTGATTGGAATCGTCACGGCTGCGTCGAAGTATCTAGTGCCCCAACCTCGCGGGCTGCTGGATAATCGGCACATGATGCATTCGGAAAAGCATGTGAACAGCCACTTCTCTCGCCCGTTTCACACCTCATCAAGAGTCCGGACTCCGGATGAAAAAGCCAATGGCGAGGCCCTAGCCGACGGTTCTGTTCTTTCGCGATGACGCGGCACGTGGATTCCGTTGCCTCCCACCCATGTTCCGAGGAGAGAACGACGAGCGAACCTGCTCGTCTCGGTGTGTCAGTGCAAGGCAATGCACGCCATTCGCTGAGTGTTCTGCTTGGCAACCTAGATTCTTTTCTCGTTTCCTGCGAGGCGCAGCGCTCTCCCGAGTCATCGCCAATCCACAAGAGCCTCCACAAGGAGAACAAGGCCTCGCAAGCTTCGGGGGGAAAGCGACGACGCAACATGCCCATTGAAACAAAACTCGATCCACCTCTAGGCCGGGCCTCACTGCATTCCGACTCAGCCCCCCGGGCGGCCACTCTCCATGAATATCGTCGTTACTCCGTCGCGGGGACATTGCAACCGACCCCTGGAGATCGCTCGAGCTGACGCGCTCCTGTCTCATCCAGATAAGAGCTTTATCGGGTTCTTCTTGCGGCGCACGGCGACTCGGCAGCAGTCATGACGCGCCTCCGCCGAGCAAGGCTGATTCTAATAGTAATGCTAATGAACAGCCCTTGTCTTGATTGTCCAGCATCCACCCATCATGCCCAAAAAGGCAATGAAAGGGCGTGAAACATGAGATTTGCTTAGTTTTCCGGCTCGCTAGCTAATCCGCGGCGCACCTGACTGGCCCCGAACGGCATTGCGGCACCTCGGGCAGATAGACAGGCATGATTTACCCCTCATCACATTGGATCACGACTTCAACCCCACCACGTATTAAGATAGGTCGATACCAACACACACCATCGTACGTAGCATGTCTCTGGCACCCTCACCACTTTGCTTCGTATCCAAGCGCATCCCAACCGCTGCCCTCCTCTGGCCATTCTCTGTCCAAACGGCTTTCAGACCCATCCGCGGCCCCAGAATACATCGCACAATGGCCTCCTCTTCCCTGCCGCAGTCGATGCCCGCCATCCAGATTGCTAAGACTGGCGACCCCTCCGTGCTTACTCTTAACACGGCTCCCGTCCCCGCTGTCCCCGAAGGCCATGTCCTCGTGCGCAACGCCTACGCCGGCATCAACTACATTGACACGTACTTCCGCACGGGTCTTTACCCCATCCCTGGCAATGATTTCCCCCACACTCTAGGACGAGAAGGCGCCGGCACAATCGCTGCGGCACACCCCTCGGTGGCCTCCAAGTTTCCCAACGGCACCCGTGTCGTCTACATGGGATCCGTCGGTGCCTACGCAAGCTACTCTGCCGTGCCCGCCGCCCTGGTCGTCGCCATCCCTGACAACCTGACCCTCGACGTCGCCGCTGCCGCCTGGCTGCAGGGGCTCACTGCATGGACCTTTGTGCGAGAGGCGGGCGAGGTCAAGTCTGGCGAGTGGGCTCTCGTTCACGCCGCGGCTGGCGGTGTTGGTGGACTGCTCGTGCAGATGCTCAAGGCCGTCGGTGCTCGCGTCATCGCTACGGCGAGCTCAGAGGAGAAGCTCGCTGCTGCGCACGCCAAGGGAGCCGAGTTTGGCGTCAACTCGAAGAGCGATAACCTTGTCGAAGAGGTGAAGAAGATCACAGGTGGCCATGGTGTCGATGTCGTGTTTGACGGCGTTGGCAAGACAACCTTTGACGGTGACGTCGAGATGGCGGCGCGCAAGGGACGACTGGTCATCTTTGGAAATGCTGTACGTCGTGACAACACGTGCCCCCCTGCTTGCACCCGACCTATGCTGACGTTTTGCAGTCTGGCGCCGTGGACCCCGTCAACATCCTCCGTCTCGGTGGCAAGAACCTCAAACTCATGAGACCTGTCGTCAACGGCTACCTAGCCGAGCGCGAGGAGCTGGAAAAGGTACGGCAGCGAATTGTTCGAGATGCTGACGTCTGGCAAGGTCGAGGTGCCAGTGTACAAGACATATCCTCTGGCAGACGCGTCCCAGGCCCACATTGACCTCGAGTCAAGGAAGACATCCGGCAAATTGCTGCTCAAGATAGATTGACGCGAGGAAGATGCGGCTGCCCGCACGCCACGCAGCAGACTTGCCTAGACCGATAGATGTGTAGTAATGGGATGGGGATCGAGAATAAAATTCCGCTCATTTGCAGAGACACCTTCATGCCTCTTCATCAATTTTTTTTTCATTAGTCTATCGTGCGTGGCGCTCAGCACCTCTAGCAACAAAAGGAAAAAGTGAAATGCAGCAGCAATGGTTTTCTTTTCTTGCTTCTGCGAATCAGGATGTCCTGAAAAACCCCCTCCTGTTCTCCATCGCCCCGATCTCTCTATTTTGTGCCAATGGCCTTGGCGTTGGCGAGCAGCTCCGGGGGCGGGTCCTGGCGGTAGCCCTGGGGGTTGTTCTCGACCCAGCGCCACAGGTCCTCGCAGGCCTTCTCCATGGTCTGTTCGGTCTTCCAGTTGAGCTCCTTGTTGGCGCGCTCAGGGTTGGCGGTGAGGTTGAGGACGTCGCCCTGGCGGCGGGGGCGGACCTCGTAGGGCAGGTCGCGGCCGACGACCTTGCTAAAGGCCTTGAAGATGTCGTAGACGGTGCTGCCGCGGCCGGAGACGAGGTTCCAGGCGCGGACGCCGGGGTTGTTGTCGCGCAGGTAGTTGAGGGCGACGAGGTGGCCCTTGGCGAGGTCGCCGACGTGGATGTAGTCGCGGATGGCGGTGCCCTCCTTGGAGTCATAGTCGTCGCCAAAGACGAGCAGCTTCTCGCGCT